TGGAGGAGATGGACGCTTGAAGTGTACCATTAGAAAGAGACCAGTTTATGAAGCACAGTAGCGTAAAGCATCTGACACCTCTTGTAATTTTTCATCACACATTTCTTTCCACTTTCCCTTATTCAGACTGTGAGACGGAGTAATGAGGGTTAAGAATGAGTGTAGTAAATGGGCAGTGTGTGTTTTCTGGTATCATAATCTTGCAAGCCACAACTACAAAAGCCCTTACAGCTCAATTTCAGCCTACTACTGAACTGACGGCATATAAACAGCAACATTAATTCCCTGCTAATGTTGAATATCAGCCTCAGATGGACTCTGAGGACAAAAATAAATAAATGTGCAAAAATTGTACCTTTAGAAGTACAACAGCTTGTCACTGGGGTAGAACCCATAAAAGGACATCTTTGTACCTTATTTACCCCTAAGGTTCATAATAGTACCTCAAGGGTTCATATTATAGCCTACTACTCTAAGATACTGATATGCATCTTTTATGCATAGATAAGGCTCAAAGAGTATTGCCCCGGTGAAAAGCTGTGCATCTAAAGGTACAATTATTGCCCATTGTTTTGGATATTGTGTGGTGCACACAGCAAACAAAAAAAGAGAGCTTTCCCAAAATGGCAAACTCTAATCTGATGGGCTGGTTTTACTCAATATCCGCTATGGCAGGATGCACAGCTTTATATCAGTTTGTCAGGAAACCAGGGGGGGTTATGAATGACGAGTTATGAATGAATGAAACACCTTTGTCCGCTTGAGAAACGGTGTCTCTTCCGTGGCTCAGAACGCTTTCAACTCGTTTTTTTTGTCTCGAGTAAGACACTGTATGACATTCACGTTACATTATTTGACTGATTTTTACATAGAAAGGGCAACAGCGCACTGCATTAAAAGAAATGACATAAGCGGTTTTCATAACCCCTGGCCAAATTCAAAAACGAAACTAAAATTAATCATCTATGAGAGCAAGGGGGCCCCCTGGTGTTTCGGGGGCCCTACGCAGCTTGCGTACTTTGCGTATAGGGAGGATCGGCTCTGCCTGGAGGGGTACCTTCCTTGGGTACCTACCTTGGAGTTTAGCTCCAACCCTAATTAAACAAACCTAAGCCAACTAATCAAGGAGCCTTCCAGGCAGGTGTGTTGGAGCTAAACTCTGCAGGAAAGTGGCCCTCCAAGAACAGGACTGGATTTGACTGATTTTTACGTAGAAAGGGCAACAGCGCACTGCATTAAAAGAAATGACATAAGCGGTTTTCATAACCCCTGGCCACATTCAAAAACGAAACTAAAATTAATCATCTATGAGAGCAAGGGGGCCCCCTGGTGTTTCGGGGGCCCTACGCAGCTTGCGTACTTTGCGTATAGGGAGGATCGGCTCTGCCTGGAGGGGTACCTTCCAGAAGAGTTTAGCTCCAACCCTAATTAAACAAACCTAAGCCAACTAATCAAGGAGCCTTCCAGGCAGGTGTGTTGGAGCTAAACTCTGCAGGAAAGTGGCCCTCCAAGAACAGGACTGGACACCCCTGTTTTACTGTAACTAACTATTCATTCACAAACTCTCAAGCAACCACCTTTACATTTTCCCCTGAACTAAGAGGCCTGACATTTTCGCCTGTTTTTGGAGTCCAGTTGGGAATGTCTTTCAAGGTAATACCTTTCTGAAACCTCTGTACACTCTATCTCATTTAGGAATCCTAATCTGAACAACAAATACAGGCAGAGCTGTCCAACCTGATGAAGCCACCCAAGCAGGAAAAGAGATTGAACATTTGTACACAGCAAATCCAGAATGTTCATTTGGGGAGTGAGGTGGCATTAGCCTGAGCTGTATCAGCAAAAGACATCAGCCACTGAGGTGTGTATTTTTGGTGTCTGTCCTTCTCTCTATCTCTACCACTTTCTCCCAATGTCTCTTCCTAGACTGTTTGGATAAAACCTCCAAATGTACCACAAAGCAGAAAGAAGCGAATATCTTGCTTGTTTACACAAACATAATGAGGACTTGACACATGGCCTAATTTAAATGATACCCGTATATTCATAGCTGGTTGTTTTTTAGGGGAATCCAACAGATTTAACTGAGACACACCCTTCCCTGTTGATGTCATGCACATTGGCGGCCCGTGGGGAAGCCACAGCGGGTTTAAACCACTCATAAAAGAAAGTGCTTAAAAACAACATCAATTTCACACCAGCAGGGACAATACAGCCCTGAAGATGACAGATAGTAATTTCAGACAGTAAAATCCCAGACAGTAATTTTGACTAATGTATCCAAAGAACAAGACCATTTGTCATTCGTCGAGAGAGTCTTAATGGAATAGTTCACCCAAAAATGAAAACTAAGTCATGATTTTTTTAATTCTCATGTTGTATCAAACCTGTGGGTGAGTATTCTCTTTTTGATTCCCCGGAAGCAAGAAAGTCATACAGGTTTGGTGAGAAAATGATCACAAAATTTTAATTTTGTTTGAATTATCCCTTTAACATTGTACACCTTGTACAGATTTGTCATGACTTTGGGGAATAGATTGCACGCATTGCACACTCTACTCAACTTTGTTTCATTGCTAGCAGTCGCTGCTCCTATTAAAAAGTGTGAATGCTCCTTTAGAGGTCTACACCCCATTAAAAAAATCAAAACCTGAATTCCCTTTGAAAATTTGTTGACGAACAATACATATTTTGCCATCTGTCCAAATGTTAGAAGTGTCTTAAACAATTGCCTTGTAGGACAAGGGTGTCTAATCCTGCTCATGAAAGGCCAATGTCCTGTAGAGTTTAGCTCCAACTTGCCCCAACACACTTTTCTGGAAGTTTCTAGACTTGATTAACTAGTTCAAGTGTGTTTAATTAGAATTTGATCTAAACTTTGCAGGATAGTGGCCCGCCAGGAGCAGGTCTGGACACACTTGTTTTAGGATATCCCAAGTCTCACAGCTATATGGGACAAGGGCAACTTTGGTCCTGGAGAGCTGATGTTTGATTAGAGATGGAGCTAAACTCTTCATGATAGTGGCCCTCCAGAACCGGAGTTGCAAATCCCTGTTCTATAGGGTAAAAGAAACAGTGACATTGGTAGAACCGATCTACTGGTCATTGTAATTTAAGTCAGACTCTGAGAAGCGAGAGCCTATGGATGAACGTAATTAATTTTACAGCTGAGGGGAAACAGTTCCACAAAAAGCCTTCTAGACTACCCCCTTTCCAAGTGACAGCTGCACTGCATCCCAGCGTAAGCCCTTTAGGCTCGCTCTAAACCCTATTATATCTCTCTTAACTTCACCCTCAACGTCATTCCTCTCTTCACATAGTTCCACATCTCCGGATCGTTTTTTCTCCCAAATCCTCCATACCACTATCTCTTTCTCACACATCCTCTCTACCCCTTCCCCCTGACTCACATCTTTCTCTCTCATCCGATAAATTATGTGTATTCGACGTCTTCCTCCTTCACACCCTCTTTTCCCTTATCTTCCACTTTCACCTCATCAACAATTCCGCACACAGGGCAGGGTTTGCAAATGCTCCACTGGAGGTAAATTAATTGCACGCACGTGCTTATCGTTCCATAGGACTAGTACTTAATTTCCCCCTTTTTCCAGCTAATTTCCTTTATCCCAGACTTTCTTCTCACCTGCAATCCAGTCGTTCCAGCTCAAAGTGGGGGTTGAAGTTTAGCACGATGCGCTGAGAGGGTTCGGGTGCGCTGATCACCCACTGGCAGCTCTCATGGGGTGGGTATTCCAGAGGGTATCCTGGAGATGTGATGTAACCAGCATTACTGGCATCCAGCTGGCCTCCGCATGTCTCAACTAAGACAGAAGGGAGATGAGAAAGTGAGGTGAGGTAGAGTGCTAGATAAGTTAGTTATTAGCCACATACTTAATGCTAATTTGGTCAAGCAGTGCGGTGTGAATTAAATACATAAATCACAAGAGCTACCAAATCCTTGAGCGAGCACTTCATGGCTACTAGAAATACTTATCAAGTTGTCAAAACACACAAGGGACAAAAGCAATGCTATATGAAGTTAAAACCATCATTAAATCAACATTAGCCCTATTGTGTTCATTAATACAAGTTCCTGCAAGTAATTGGTGCATGTTGAATGATGTTACAGAGGCCTCTTGAAAATACATCTCATTATAGAAGTTGGTTGGGGAAAAATGGTTGGGAATGCTGACTTAAAGCTAAAATAACATCTCCCTAATGGCATTGCTATGTGGATACTGTATTTCTACAGTAAATAAAGCTTTTAATTTGACAATTCCGTGACATGACGCCGACATTTCCAATTATCTTATGTTCTTTTAAGTTATCCCACAATGTTAATGTAGAAGTCTGGAAGCATTCAACACATTTCCGATGCTCTCTACAAGATATAATAGTCTAGGGTGACCATACGTGCCATTTTCCCAGGACGCGTCCTGGATCTACTGGTCATTGTAATTTAAGTCAGACTCTGAGAAGCGAGAGCCTATGGATGAACGTAATTAATTTTACAGCTGAGGGGAAACAGTTCCACAAAAAGCCTTCTAGACTACCCCCTTTCCAAGTGACAGCTGCACTGCATCCCAGCGTAAGCCCTTTAGGCTCGCTCTAAACCCTATTATATCTCTCTTAACTTCACCCTCAACGTCATTCCTCTCTTCACATAGTTCCACATCTCCGGATCGTTTTTTCTCCCAAATCCTCCATACCACTATCTCTTTCTCACACATCCTCTCTACCCCTTCCCCCTGACTCACATCTTTCTCTCTCATCCAATAAATTAAGCGCATTCAACGTCTACCTCTTTCACACCCTCTTTTCCCCTTATCTTCCACTTTCGCCTCATCAACAATTCCACACACAGGGCAGGGTCTGCAAATGCTCCATTGGAGGTAAATGAATTGCGCGCACGTCCTTATCGTTCGTCATTCCATAGGACTAGTGCTTAATTTTGCCCCTTTTTTCCAGTCAATTTCCTTTATCCCAGACTTTTTTCTCACCTGCAATCCAGTCGTTCCAGCTCAAAGTGGGGGTTGAAGTTTAGCACGATGCGCTGAGAGGGTTCGGGTGCGCTGATCACCCACTGGCAGCTCTCATGGGGTGGGTATTCCAGAGGGTATCCTGGAGATGTGATGTAACCAGCATTACTGGCATCCAGCTGGCCTCCGCATGTCTCAACTAAGACAGAAGGGAGATGAGAAAGTGAGGTGAGGTAGAGTGCTAGATAAGTTAGTTATTAGCCACATACTTAATGCTAATTTGGTCAAGCAGTGCGGTGTGAATTAAATACATAAATCACAAGAGCTACCAAATCCTTGAGCGAGCACTTCATGGCTACTAGAAATACTTATCAAGTTGTCAAAACACACAAGGGACAAAAGCAATGCTATATGAAGTTAAAACCATCATTAAATCAACATTAGCCCTATTGTGTTCATTAATACAAGTTCCTGCAAGTAATTGGTGCATGTTGAATGATGTTACAGAGGCCTCTTGAAAATACATCTCATTATAGAAGTTGGTTGGGGAAAAATGGTTGGGAATGCTGACTTAAAGCTAAAATAACATCTCCCTAATGGCATTGCTATGTGGATACTGTATTTCTACAGTAAATAAAGCTTTTAATTTGACAATTCCGTGACATGACGCCGATTATCTTATGTATCTTATGTTCTTTTAAGTTATCCCACAATGTTAATGTAGAAGTCTGGAAGCATTCAACATGCTCTCTACGCTCTCTACAAGATATAATAGTCTAGGGTGACCATACGTGCCATTTTCCCAGGACGCGTCCTGGCCAGGATTTCTATATTGCCTAAAATATCTAGGTTTTGGCTTTGTTTGCGTGTGCAGACCGATCGGTATATGACATCAAAATACCATACAGACAGTTCCTTATGCTTTCAAAATGCTCTCGAGGTATTTTGATGTCATACACCGATCGGTAAGCACACGCAAACAAAGCCAAAACCTAGATATTTTAGGCAATATAGAAATCCTGACCAGGACGCGTATGATCACCCTATAATAGTCCACCACAGCCAATTCTGAGACAGGAAGTGACACGCAGGTCTCTTCTCTGGAGGTTCAAGAGGTCACCCCCAAAGCTGCAATGGGATCCAGCATAACAAAACCTTTCTTCTACCACCTCACCCAACGTGGTTTCTCTGTTATCTTCACCAAACACTCCTTCCACATGCTAGCGTTCATGCTAACATGCGCAACAGCCCTTTTTCATGCCGCCCTCACACATAGAGGATATCACTCTGGTCATTATTATTCTAAATGGAGCTAAGATTAGGAGACAGAAATACTTTCTGGTCTTTCACCATGACAACCGTGCAGTGAGGGTTTTTTTTAACCGCATACCAGTCAAACGACAACTGAGGAATTAGCAGATGGGTCATTCCTACTATGCAGCACATTTCCATGTCACCTTCACAGAATATTTAACTCACAATTTGCATAAATGGAAATCAAATGTATTTGTTTTCTTTTATCAGAACATCACAATTATATTTATTTTAAATCAGTTCATTATTTAAGTTTGAATTGATGATGCCATTGTTGGCATGTCTGCTATTCTCTGCAAAAAATTAAAAGCAATGCGTTAAAGGGATAGTTCACCCAAAAATGTAAATTCTGTCATTAATTACTCCCTCATGTCGTTCCAAAACCGTAAAACCTTTGTTGATCTTCGGAACACAAATTAAGATATTATTTATGAAATCCGAGAGCTTCCTGACCCTCCATAGACAGCAACGGACAGCATCAGTGGTTTAACTGTAATTTTATGAAGCTACGAGAATACTTTTTGAAGAGAATAAATTGTTGAATGAAGTCGTTATTTTTGTTTTCTTTGTGCACAAAAAGTATTCTCGTAGCTTCAGAAAATTGCAGTTGAACCACTGATGTCACATGGACTGTTTTAACAATATCCTTACTACCTTTCTGGGCCTTGAACATGTCAGTTGCATTGCTGTCTATGCAGGCTCAGAAAGCTCTCGGATTTCATTTGTGTTCCGAAGATGAACTAATGTCTTATGTGTTTGGAACGACACGAGGGTGAATTTTCATTTTTGGGTGAACTATCCCTTTAATATTCAGCATGTTTCTTGGAAATATTGTTTGAATTGGTCATCATGTTAAAGGTTTTTCCCCATGTCCTTGATGCACTTTATATCCTGTCTGTCTTTTGTAAAATCCCTTAACTAACAAACACCAGTTCCTGAATGACATCATCCCTTAGGAAGTGTGGTGAGAAAATAGCAACTTAAAACATTCAACTCTTAAACATTTCATCCTGGTTCAAAAGGCATTCAAAAAGATATATCAAAATAAGCTTTATGCCATCCTCAGGTAAGCTATCTGTCACTCCCTCATTTAGCAGTGACTAACTTTAGCTCTTCAATTCAGTCCTGCTCATTTTGTGCAACTAAATAATCACATTAAACTGAATAAAGCTGAAGTGTCTGAGCTTGACCTGTGCATATTTTATAAAATAGAACATATTCATTTGTAAAGGTTACAGAGTTAAAAAGGTACTGCATGAAAGGAATGACTCAGACATTGAGAGCATAGGTACACATGATTACTGCCATCAACCTTATGAGAAAACAAGCCTGAAGATTACATTTTGTGTATGATAAAAATGTAAACCTCCACAAAAGGTGAGTGGAACTGGCTAACATGCTTATGTTTAGCAGGATACATCACAGCACACGTCGGAAAGGGAAAGTGGGAATAGTGCAGGTTCAGAGAGGAAGAGGGTGGTTTGACTGACAGTTCTGGGTTTGATGTTGGCTTCTGCAAATACATAGATAAACACGGCTGTCTAGCTAGTGTTAGGAAAACTCCTCCTCTTTCTGACAGAACAAACTTCATGACTACTTTGCCCTTATCCCATATGCTCCTAACGTATATCGGCATCGGTATCGGCAAGTACCAAAAATAAAAGTATCGGTATCGGGCGAGTACTGGAAAAAGTGGTATCTGTGCATCCTATTTCTAACATTGCATGAGTTATACAATCATAAACCGGATGAGAACAGATGGAGTCTCTAATATTTAAGCAACACAGGAATAGCGATGCAGCCAGGGAGAATCAAAACAGAAATGAGACACGGTAAAAATGAGACACAAAGAGACTCAACCCCAAATGCACAACTCCAGAATTTTCTGAAAACTTGTGAAATTGCCCTTTAAAAGTGAGCTGCAGGGCATCCTAAAACCACGTTAAAGATCTTCAGCGGTATGCATTGGTGTGGTAGAAAATCTTGAGACAAGGAGTTGAGTATCGCCTGAAGCCAAGACTCCCATTCGTGCCAGTCATAAGAGCCGGAATAAAAGATATAAGGATGGTTGGGGCTTCTATCAAGTGTTGACATTTCCACTGCTATTATGTCTTTTTAAAAGGTACACTTAAAATGAGGTGGCATTTAAGGCAACAACCGAATCCTGCCAAACCTTTTCTACTACATCCTCTGAAGGGGAAAAGCTAGCCAGTAAAATGTAGGTGCACACACAAAGAGTATGTAATATATATGTACACACATTATCTATCTATCTATCTATCTATCTATCTATGCATGTGTCCATCTGTCTAAATTAAGCTAGCACAGCGTAAACCATTTAAATAACATTTATTATTGTTATTATTATTATTTGCATTACATTGAGGATTTTTGTGTTTACAGTCATCGTGAAAATAATGTCACGTTGCAAAACAAAAAAAGGTCCTAAAAATAGGTTTCATTTCCTTCTTCCTTATTTTCTCCTCTTATTTTGTGCTGAAGATGACTTGACAGTTCCCTTGCAGCCCTCCTCCCATGAATTCCTCACCTCATCTCGGTATTATTACCCAATATATTACAGGAACACAAAAGGACAGACAGATAGCAATCATTCTAGCATTTTCATTCTGTCTGCATGTATTCTCTGGCTGTGTCTATCGCGCTATTGTGTGTTTTCAGGGAAGAGGGTCTTGAGGATAAATCCATGAGGGGGGATTTTGCGAGCTTGGCACTTTTTTTTTTTTTAGACAGATTTGACCTTTCATGTAGAGAGACAGAAGGGGAGAGAGGCTACAGACAGCCCCGAGAAGAGATTTCAGACCTGGTTGCTAGAATGAACAAAGAATAAAAATAAGGTTTGTGTAACTTTAAAAGGCTTGTTCATCCCAAAATAAAATATTTATTCACCCTTATGTAATTTCAAACTCACATTTTTCTTTTTTTTTTCACAAAAGCAGATGTTGAAATGAGAATGATGACAAACAAATATGACCATAAACATCCATAAAAGCTGCATAAACATGGTCCATATGTGTGCCATATTTTCTGTGAGAAACAGACTGAAAGTCATCGAGCTGTGACTGGATCACTGGTTCGGTGAATCTGTGGGAACAAATCATTCAAACCAGTTTTGTGAACCAAATCAACCAATTCACTCAAAAGATTTGATATCTAAATTAATATCTTGTTCATACTGCACAACACCATTTCAAACATGACATCCCTGGCTCTTCTTCGCACGTTCATGAGAAAAGTAGCCATGTCCGGTTTGCAAATAAATCATTCTTTTGAGTCAGATCTTTTCAATTAATCCAGTTTACAAAACCAGTCTAAAAAAATTGTTCACAGATCAGACCGGTTTACCTCTCAGGTTCGACTCACTGACTCACTGATCCGGTTGCAGTGGTTAGGGATCACTGGAGGGAAAGTTTACCAGTAAACAATGACTCATATTTCAGTCTGAAAGTCAAACATGTTTAGAACAACATAAAAGGTGAGGAAATAATGACAGATTTTTCTTTTTTTAGTCTAATCCCTTAATAACATGAGGTTCTAGTTGATGCTTTTAAAGACTAAAAGAGTCAAAATGTCAAAAAACAAAAGGGGATCTAAAACGTACAGCCCTCTAAATATGAAACACTCTGTGCGTGTATGTTTTGAGCACGCATAGATTAGTATTTCTCCTATTCACGAAACTCAGAAAAATAGGATGAAACGGCATACACAACCACTCGGGGTGTTGTAGATGGAAAGAAGATGTGTGTAGATACGTGTGTGCGTCTTTCTGTCTATTTGCAGGAACGCTGGGGAGAACTAAGTGCTTTGTTTGTTCACATGAAGTATTTATATGTGTCTCCTTATCCTTTAATCAGGTGTGTCAAGCTAAAGTGAACACAAAAATGTTGTCCTAGAGGTAAAGAAAAGCTGCTAATATGCAATTATCATAATTACTAAAACTACAACGCTGTTCATACTAGTGATTTAAACAAACCCTAAAAAAATAAACTTTGGTTAAACTTGCACTGTTTGTGCTACAAACATGAACAAACTGTGCAGCTTGGTGATCAATCAGACGTGGGAGTTTACCTGGCAGATGATAAAATAGGCAAAAGCGTCCCATATAGAAGGACCAAAAATGATGGAAGTGGGTTTTTTATCAATAAGTAACCACCAAAAATATCCTAGCAAAAGCATAGAAACACACAATACTGTATACCACCAAGAACACCTCTTAAAACCACATAGCAACACCCATTACATCCTAGCATAATGGAAGCATGTTTTGCATGTGCAAACACCACTCAAAAACAATAAAATGCAGTTTAATATGCTCTCTGTCCCTTTGTTTTCCAACAACAAGGTGAAATATGATAGATTTCTACCTCTAAATAAGTTACAGGTTCCTTAAACTTAAAATACCCAGTAAAAATGCAATTGCAAACAGGCCAAAATCCATCAATGCAACAATCTTGAACTTCTAAAACAGGAGAAAATTCTAAGTTAAATATCTGGTAAGCATCCTGGAAAGATTCGTTGAGAAGGTTCCAGATTTGAGTGCAGTGTTTGACAAAATGTAAATAGGCACAAATAGAGAGGCAGGTGAAAATAGTGTTTTTGAGAATAAAAGAAAATATGCCACTGCAACGACACTGTTAACACATGGACAGTCTGATATCATTCTATGTGGGTCAACGTGTCACTTTTTGGCCAGGACAAAACAAAAAACTGAGAAAGGCCCCTAAAGACATGGATCTCACACAAGAGATGCTGTGTCTTTGTTGTCCATAATTCAGTGCATTGTGTTGCGCTTGTTGCAGTCGATGCTGCTCTGGGAGGGGGGGCGTTACAGAAGTACCTACGAGAGCGCTGCATGTGTACGGTTTCAGGCTGCGGTCCAAGTGGGTTTTTCAACACCCAACATTAAAATAATGGCATAATTGTCTGCAACAAGATATGGGCTTGCAAATCAAAACTGTTTACACAAATTACCCCCTGAGTAAATATGAAAACAATTATCAAAATGTAATTGCAGGCGTTGCTAATGATCACAGAAAATAAACAACATTGTAAAATGCCATCTCTATTCAACTGCTGAACTCTGCACTTCAAACAGTGCAAGCCCTATTTTTTTTAAAGCTGCTTTAGTCTAGCCACTTTAAAGTTGTTATTCCTAATAAGTAATATCATTTGCAATGCCACCGTACCCATAAGCCAGCTGCTCCTATGATGAAAGTTTGTAGCCTATCTGTCAAGAGCAATAATGCAACAATGGCATATAGCCTAAATCAAGCCAATGTCATCTATAAGCAAGTAGGGTTCATTCATTCGCAGCTGCAGCTTTCCAATATTTGAAGACCTTTCACCACTAATTCTAGCTGCTTCATCGTTTTTTCAACCTGTTGGTCTAAAACTGCAGGTGCTGCTGTACTCTAGATAAATGTATGTTCTGTGAGAAGACTAGGGCATAGAGATGACTGTAAATTGCACAAAAACACCATTAATATTATGTATATTATCACAATACCTCACTAAGAGGTTTTGAGCCAAACGACCAAATACAAAAATACTTAATTTCTCTTAATAGCTGCTGACGTTCAGTTTAACGATGTATTGTTGACGATATCTGTGAAAACAATCTCATGTGGAAACTTGGACGGCATTGTGTTGCTGCAGCCTTATCACTTCTGCTTATTTGAAAGCTTCTAATAAACCATTGTTTTGTTATTCCGGGAGAAATGAGCGAAACACGTCGCAATTAACACTAATGCAATATATAGGTTATACGCCCGCTCTGAAGTCCGCTCGCGCCGTGACTCCGTTTTCCCGTGAAAACCCCTTATGAAGACCGACAATGACCGACAACAAGCACGTTTCAAAACGTGGACAACGACTGTGTAGGCTACTATGAAACGGTGAGGAACCGAATATACAAACACCTCTGGGTCGACTTTTTAAAGGAATCTTTAGTCAGTAAATTTCATCTGCTGAGGTTCCTGTAAACCTTAATGATATTTTGCCTTTTCTGGTTCAGCTATCTAACCGTATATTTGTGATATAATGATAGTTGTGTAGTTTTCTCGTCGTTACAGTGGTGAGTAGCCTATTCCCTATTTGACACTATAACTGAACAATACTCACACGGTAGGCTACTTTAAATCCATCAGTATATATCGTTTTGCATACACATTGGCCACGGCAGTATATTTTGAGGTAGCCTACCTCGGAATACTTCAAATATGTTATATGAATATCATAATCATTCAGTTGCATACATATATAATACTATATAACTCTGCCATGATATCACCAGAAGCGCAAGAAACTTAACATAACGGTTAAGTCAGATGAACCCTGCTAGTTTAGACCCCAAAATCATCTTCGTTATACTCGCGAAGTGATGTTTTCTGGAAGGGCTACACTGAATATGACTTAATTTCACCTTCTGGTTTCTGCTGTTCTCTCTTAAAATGGTTTATATTCTTTAGCTAGGCTATATAAAGTCCCATTTGCTGTAGCCTATTTACATGGTTCTTTATAGAAAAGGTTGTTTTGATGTTTAGATTATAGGTATTTATATCTACATATAGGCTAATGATTTCTTAGAAGAACTTTTTTAAAAAGTTATCCGATTAGGCTTTAAACCCTTTACCGTTGAAATCGGAACCTTTAAGTTTTTTTTTAGTTACTTTTTATGATTACATATGGCATACATTACACCCCAGTTTGGTCTGGAAATCTTAAGTTGTCCAGATTCCTAAGTCAGAATGTCTCTGTTTCATCTTTAGACATGAAAATACTTAAATAAAATAAAATAAATAAATAAAAAATACAATGTCTCGTAAGCACTTATTCTAAGGATGTAAGACTGCTGGGCAGTCTTTTTCTCCACTAAATAAAACCAGAAGCTATCCTTTTCTCAGCATGGTTTGCCTGGACAGCAGAAACACACGTCGCTTCGCTTCGCCTGGAGAGAAATCTGTTTGCCATTTACGGATAGCCTCACTGGATGGGAATTTAGACACACCGATACAGTTATGAAAGCTAAAGAAAAACAGACAAACTTACTTTCTGTTGCGCCGACATTCAGAACGAAGCAAAACATAAATGCAATCCCTTGGTGAGATATCCAGAAATCCATCTTTCCAAAAATGCGCTGCCTTGAAGAAGTGACCTGTATTCAACTAGTGATCTTCTTCAAGGAACAAACGCCGATAATACAGAGTGAGAAAAGAAAAGAAAACAAGCCTTTTTGCCTTTTTAGTGCTCAGAATGTCATATTCAAATGCAGTTCTGTTGAGCCAATTGCGCACAGCAAATGCAAACTACGCATGACATGATCTAGCTATTTCATGTTCTCATAAAGTCATGCTTTGTCGGCTTTACCTCGAATAATACTAAATTAGAGGTCTTCAGCTGTCATGGATTTGCGTGCGTTATTGCGCTCCATTGATCTCTCCCTTAATCGTCCGCTTAAAACACGCTGCCCTCCTGGTTTAAATGTTCTGATATCGTCTTGCTCTCGTAAGTCAGTCAGTCATACTCGGGAGGCACCAAGTTTTGTCCAAACTGCCAGACAGGAGTGGAATTGCGTTGCGCACAGAAGCGTGTTGTAGCGCACTGCTGTGCTCGCGCAGAGCTGTGACAGCGCGTGTGTATGTGCGAGTGTGTGTGTGTGTGTGTGTGTGTGTGTGTGTGAGAGTGAGTGAGTCAGTATGTGTGTAATAGCATTTCTGAGCGGAGCAGCTATCGCATTACACTGAGCTTTCTTGGCCCGCCTCCCCTCAGTCACTGATTAGAGATCTCTCTCTCTCTCTCTCTCTCTCTCTCTCTCTCTCTCTGTCTGAGCGATCATTTTTAGCGAATCGGTTCGTTCAATGAAATATAAATAGTAAAAGTAATTTCTTAAAAGAGTTTTTAATGTTAAATCATCCCTCTTTCTCTCACGTTCTCGGCTCTGACAGTCTGATTCATTTTAGCAAATCACTTTCAATGAAGTAGTTCAAAAATGATTAATCGGTTAGGTAATTTCTCAAATGGAATTGTAGATTAAGTTTATCATCATCTGCCGAATGCAGAAACCGACTATGTTTTCAAACAAGACACAATCTGTCAATGTTCTCTCTAAGTGTCATGTGATATTCAAATGTATAACCATTTTAAAACAATGATTCATTTGTGAATAAAACATCAGCACTCGCTTTCTCTCAACCTCATCAGTTGCCAGAAACTCAGGCCCACATAAACACACAAACACACACACACACGCACACGCACACGCACACACACACACACTCACACTCAAAGCTACAGTGCATGTTATTTTTGGATTTTGACTGGCCTTCCTCTCTAGCAATAATACACAGCCTGAAATGCAATTAACTTTCAAGATATCACATGATATGATGAAACCATGATAAATCATACAAATTCAAGTTCACCTTTCTAGGAAGGTGGCTTGCACGCAACACAAATGCAAAGTTCATAGTCTTGCCCACGTGCATAGTAATGGTCATCGTGATATGAGGCAAGGTGTGCAATGCACAATTACATGAGGCAACGTGTGGCAATGTTTATTTCATGTTTTGCCATAGCTCAGAAATCTCAAGTCATTGCGTGATTTGACCTGCAGGGGGACAGACCCGACCACAGGACCTGAACAACATGGGTCGTCAAGGGCAGAGCAGGAGCATAGCCAGAACTGTCGACCTTCACAGCAGTTGGATTAAAGTAATGTCTGGTGCATAGCCATTCCTTCCTGATGAACTAACATTTCACGGTTTCTTATTTCAAAAAATCTCATCTGTTTAGACTGTTAAAGGATACATTGAGGATTTTGTTTTTCTTTGACATTACTCATACATAATGCCTATATATGTTCACAAGAGCATATAACATACTACTCTTAATATTTTTGCAGATAATAAGAGTATTATCAGAGTATTACCAGAAAAGTTTGGAATTATTAAGATTAAGTCTTTTATGCATACCAAAAAGAAATGGTGTGTACAGTAATGCATTTAAAATGCATGTTAATACATTCTAAAAGGTACATGCAACATGCAGCTTGAATTTTTGTTAAACCCTTATATTAATTATTCCATAAAATAATGTTATATGAGCTTTAAATCTCTTTTAATCATCGAAATACTGTTTTAGGATGAACTTCTGGTATCGTAAATAATATAAGTGATTTTTTATTTTTTTTTTGCATGTAAATTACCGTTCAAAAGTTTGGGTTCGGTAAGATTATTAATATTTTTTTTTATAGAAGTCTCTTCTGCTCACCAAGGCTGCATTATTTGATAAAAATACAGTAAAAACAGTAATACTGTGAAATATTATTACAACCTAAAACAACTATTTTCCATTTTAATATATTTTAAAATGTAATTTATTCCTGAGATGCAAAGCTGAATTTTCAGCATCATTACTCCAGTCTTCAATGTCACATGATCTTTCAGAAATCATTCTAATATGCTGATTTGTCATTTTGTAAATCTTTTGTAACATTATAAATGTCTTAATTGTCACTTTCGATGAATTTAATGCATTCTTGCTGAATAAATTATTAATTTCTTTAAATAACAATAATAATCGTATTTACCCCAAACTTCATTTGAATTGTAGTGTAGAATGCAATGTACTCAATTTGACCTTCCCCTTCCAGTGTGACAAATGAACTGAAATGAATTACAGCGGTGATCGTTATGACTGATTATTTGAGCCAAAAGTTAGGATTTGAGCTGAATTATACATGCAAGTTAATTTCAAAGATGATTACTGAACGCCACTCACATGCAACGTGACGAGATCATGTAAGAACAGTGTAGCATCAAATTTGAAACTTAAATCATTGACTAATACCTTCTTCATTTTAAAAGAAGCATACAGTGAAGTATTCAGTGCCTTAATGTTCCACACTAAAGCCACAACATGCATGTCTTTTGTGCAGACCACACGGTTTAAGGATTTAAGGTGTGTTTCTCAGCCCACTGGCATAGGCTAAATGAGAACCGTAATCTAAGGCTGAAATGTCATATGTTTCTGGACCGGCGGGCACAGAACAGAACCACCCCACCCAAGCCAAGCTGCTCTACAATCAAAAGCTCTAACTACAGACACAGAGGTTTTTTAATGACACAGCAGAGCTATGCCATGCCGAAAATACTTCACCGAGAACTGCTTTTGGGAAGGCCTTCACACCAGGAATTTACAGTAGGCAAGTGGAAGGACAGATTTTCATGCAACACGCAGCAGCATGTTTGACATTCAGTTGTAGTACTGATGACTCAAAGAGGCCAATTTATTGTTTAGCTAGACTTTGTTTTTATTCATTTATGCAAATTTTAGTTCAATTTAAGCAGACAAGGTCAGGGTGCTTTTTCTGCCACGGTGTAAAAATCTAAAACGATGATAATAAAAACATGCTAATAATCAGTTCAGATATTCCCATGGGACATATGGTGAAGAGCCAATCCAACAGATGCCATTTATATATATGCAAGCCTTAAAGGTATATTAGCAAGAATGAACTCGTTTAGAGGGTGGAAATGGTCAAACTAAGTGGATAAACTAAATTATGGCTGTCTGTAGTGCAAGAAGAAAAGAAATGGATGAGACGTTTACTTAAGAGGTTTGCATTTTTTCATGAGGGAATTTCAATGATATAACAATATGTAAACTTTAGTTTGTGACATTAAATAAAGTCAGTAAATGCATCTACGTTGACGGAGTAACTTGCAGATCTGAAACATTTAATATATAAAATATATATAAACTCAGTCATACATGGTACTTTTATGAAACATTATAAATCAGCACAATGGTATAAAGGACTGAATGCATGTTGTCTAATCTGTAAGTCCACTAGCAAGTTAACTAAATATTATTTAATTTCATTACTCAGTGTGTAAAAACTGCATATATTACAAAGCTCTTTTGAATCAATTCAGGAGGACACATAAACATGAGCATTTCTTCATGCTTTAATTGACTACAAATGTACGATTTGCTTGACATTTTCAAGCCAAGCTTGAAGTAACCTATTCAGTGAAAGTACTTTCTGCTATATTTACTTCACCACAAAATCATTTTTCCAGTGTGTGTGTGAGGAACAGAGAACCATGTGTACAATTGGCCATCAGGTCTGTCTCACTCAACATCCTTCTCTACACAGGAGCAATGGCAGGGCTTCAAAGACTATGAGGTCACGTCCTGTTTCACTCCATAAGCCTGCTGTCAGCGGCCTCTGTTTGTTTAATCCACAAAAAAACACATCTTTGTTTTAAATGAAGTTTGAGACTTTCGTTTTTCTTGCCATACAACACTAAGGGGCTGTTTTTAACTTCAAGTCCTCCTTGAATTTGTAATAAAAAATCTTGTGACACAACAGTCCAAGACGTCAATCTGATAAAAAATCTTGTGACACAACAGTCCAAGACGTCAATCTGACGCATAAAACTGCTTGAAAATAGCCAAGACAGAAGGTAAGATGCATCCTGTGTGTAATCAGTTCCCATGAAAGTACGTATGATTCAATGAATAATATCCTTCATTTTCCTGGTGGTTGCTTGTGCACTTCCTTTCCTTGTGTTGCACGACTGCATAAACACACATGCACACTCAATGTGTGGCATTGCAGACACTCAGAGGAACTTCAGTATTTACGTAAGCATATGAGTCATAGCTACTTCGTAAGAGGTCAACATTAAATATCCATTCATACAGCCCTCTGCTACAGTATTACGCATCACATTTCCTCATGGAATCTGGAAAACATGAGTCAAACAAGTTGAGATGCCATCATTAAAAAAAAAAAAAAAAACATTTAATACGATGAGGTTTGTCTTTCCTATTTTGAGAAGTAATGGAGATCACATGTGTTTCATGAAGCATTACTTCTAAAATTTCATTAACTTTCTTCTAAAATTCATGTGGAAGATTAAAATAGACACCAAGTGAGACAGTTGCTGACACACAGTAAGAGTATGGACATAATGCAGACTCATGTGGATAACATGTTAAATCATTTGATCTTGGAAAATAAGACTTAAAGTAATTGTTGACACAGAGCCAATGTTGATTGCATAGATTGGTTTCGAATGACTATTAGATGAGAAATGATTGAATTCATATTAGGATTGCTGACTTGTGATTCCAATTTTGGGAAATCTGAGCACAGTTTAAAACACTGCTGACATATCTACTTAAACTCTAGAGGAAAGACATGAAGATCTTTATATGAAGAGAAAAATTTGAGAAAAGTCAGAATTTGCCTTCTATTCAATCTTAATGATTTTAAGGGGAAACAACTGAGATGTTTAAGTAATTTCACCTCTGATTTGACAGGACGATACTCAGATAATATTTTGCATCTAACGAAAGAGTTCATTTAGAAACAACCTTGATTTCTGCTAAACAGGCTCACTAGACGGCAGCATTAAATCCTATTTTATACTTTCATCCTGCTTTTTAGCGTTCAGGAAAGAGCACGGTTTTTCAATGTACAACGGAGCATAAAACCAAAAGTGTTTTTTTTGTGGCTTCCACAACAAATGTGACATTTCAGCTTCATAGATTTCAATGGAGTGTTTTTATTGAGTGTCACCAAACAACAGTGTGCTGAGAATGTTAATCAATCAATAAGGAATGGAAAAGTAAGAAAACAGTATAGGTTTG